AGCAGGGACCAGAAAGCATTACCATGGGACATGGGCCAGAGCTCGAAACAGGACAGACAGTGCTTTGCACTTAGGTGAGGGGTGATTGCCGCTCCATTTGATCCAACTCTACCCTATAAGCGAGGGGATTTCGGCTTCATTTGATGCAGCTCCCTCTCTCGCAGGGATTTCCTGACCTGCTCTCTGTGTACGACTACGTGCGCAAATCATTTTGAAAAATATCCATCAAAATTCCGCAAATAACTGCACGTGGCCTGTGTGAGTGTGTGTGTGCGTGTGAGTCACATGGATGTCCTGGAAAGTTACTTCGTTTCAATCAGGCATCATCTTTGGCACACAGCATTCATCTTTTACTTTTACTTGACCTGACAGCGGGTAATCCTGCTCTGGCTCTGTCAGGACTCCATCTTCATCTGCCCTTTCATCTGCATGTCTTATCCCCACTTCCAATGCCATCTTCTAGGACTTCTTGGGTGGGCTTCTTCTTCTTGAGGGCTCTTCTTGCATTTGATTAAGTGCTGGACGTCGTGTTTAGTGCGAGAGGATGCATACATACATACGTACATACATATGTACATATGTAGGTGTGGAAGCTGAACATGTGAACTTTCTCATTTGAGCTAATGATCCGTGTAATCTGCACCCAGAGCTTCTCCTGCGTGTGGTTGAGCGAGGAGCAGGGCAAGGGACCTCGACTTGGCTTGTCTGAGGGAAAAAGCTTCACATAATTGGCATAAGTTTGCACTTAAGTCAAAGGCAAACACATATTAAGAATACATATAAGAATACATATATACATACATGCATACATTTTACGTGTATATGTTTATATAATGTATACTCGTCTCAGTGGGAGCCACTCCTTGACGCCTGGTCTCGACTCGACTCGTATCGTCGCGTCTCGTCTCGTCTCACGGTAGATTTAACACACGGCAGAGAGCGTTCGATAAATGTCAGCAATTAAAAAGACGCAATGAATGTTGTAGCCTGCAAAAGGTGACAGAGAATCCATACCATACCCCCCGCCCCTCTCTCGTTGCCTGTCGCTCAATCTCTGTGCGTGGGCGTGGACTTGCCACGAAAGTGGGCGTCAAATAGCGCGGTAAACAGGTGTAATATTTAAATGCCACATCCGCCCACAGATCCACAGACCCACAGATACCCGCCATGTACCCACTCCAGGCACCCAAAGCACACAAACAAATATTGAATATTGTGAGGAATGCATGGAAACGGCGCGGAATGTGGCATCGGAGTCAACATTTGAGTGGGGCAAAACAAAAACAAAAACAAAAATAAAATAAAACGTGTCGAATGTCGAGTGTCGAGCGGGGCAATCTAGCCACGGGTTTGATCTATGTAGCTGGATAAAAGCCAACTGTAAACTTCAAAGGCAAATCCACCATAAATTCGAAATAAATTCACATGCAAAAATCCTTGGATTTATTTTTAATTTCATCACATAAAATATGTGTGAAATGTGTGTGTTGGTTGTGTCGGGTGTAATAACTGCATTCCTTGAAATACTCGTACAGAGAGCAGAGCCAGGGGCAAAAGCGGTAAAAGGAATTTGTGCAATAAAAAATGGAAATATTTCATGAATAGAAAATTTGTTTGTAAAATAAAACAATGCATTTGTCGGCTCGGGCTTCCTTCACTTTCAGTGGATTGGAATTCATGGAATGGAACTCAATTGACTGGAAACTGTCAAGCTGTCTGGCAGCCACAAATCGAGTAGGAATACCACACAACGAGAGCTGCCTATTGGTGTAATAATAATAATCGTAGACACAGGAACAGCAGACACTTATCAGCGAGCCTCCAATCACGATCGACACTTACAGCATTTATTTTTTGTTTTTTTTGGGCATTCTCGCGCATTCTCTTTGACACTTTTCGCTTGTGCGTCTGCAGGCCGACGATCGATGAACAAATCTCGGCACAATATGAGCAAAATGAGAACTAGGGCGCAAACCCATGCCATGAGCAGAAAACGGGTGGAATGGAACACTCTTGACTTGTCTTTGTCTCAACCAAATTATTTTTGTCTATTTATGTACGAAGGGAATTTATTAAATCTCATCCAGAGATTGATTTGTCATTGTCAGTTTGCCTCTTGTTCTGGTCTGTGGCCTTTTGCTGCTCCAAATGATTGATGGACATCTGGTGGAAAGTGGGAAGAGATAGCGAAGGGATGGCAAGGGGATGGGAAAGGGCGTCTCTGTGTGCAAATTGGCAGGATATTCGGGCAGTGGGGCGTATGCTAATGATGGGGTTGATGGGTTGATGGGGGTTGGTTTCCTTTGGTTTTTGCTGTTTGCTCAAATTGCAGATTTGTATTACTCCTGGCCCTGGCTTCTGGCTTGAGGTGCACCAAAAATATTTCAATATCAATTGCAACTTTTGCAATCTGCAGCAACATCTGTATCTACATAAATGTGTATCTCCATCTCCATCTGCAACTGCAACTGCAACTGCATCTGTGTGATGCTTAATATCAATTTCAATTGTGTGACCGACTGAGAGATGCAAATGCAGATGCAAATACAATTACCAATTAGCTCGGTTGATTTCTCGGATTCGGGTTGTTATTTCCATAAGCACACACACACACACACACACACATGCTGTGGACTGGTTGCCAAGAATTTCGCTTCACTTATCTGCAGGAAACTATCTGGACTGTGAACCAGATTAAAGGCTACCACAGCATACGAGTCCGACTGCGAGTATATGTGTCAGCAACAATTGAACATGTACCGGCCACAAATGTAAAAGGGACTACGAAGAACTGGGTAGGCTTGGGAAGGGGGGGAGCAGGCAGAACGTCGTGGATGGGTGGGCGCGCACCCTTGTGGAACGTGCTGCGATGTCTTCACATAATTAGCATTGAAGACGAGACGGCACAAAAATGCAAGTAATAAGCAAAAACAAACCCTGCCCCTAATTGAAGTGCCATTGGATAGGGCCAACACCCAACCCAAGGCCCACTGTGTGTGGGCTGCTGTGGCACGTGCTAAACAGAACAGTTGAAGCAACCAAACCAGACCAGACCCCAACCAACCAACCAACAGCAGCAGCGCCCCACCACCAGCACCAGCAGTCGTGTCGTGTCGGGGATAATTTGACAAGTTTTTGTGCTTTGGTGGCGCAATCTTTAATTTAAATGCCAGCCATCTCTTCACGTTTATCAGATTATTTGCGACAAGCACACAGAATCCACGTGAATATACTGCAATATATACGATACTCTATACATATGTATGTACATATGTATGGCGCCCAAAATGTATGTGTGATTAGCAGCTCACATGCCCACCTCCCCCCTCCCATTGCCACAAAGAACTGGGCTGGGCCTACAGTTGCCTGTCAGCGGCATTGAATTTGTGCTCATTTGTGTGTGTGTGGGAATGCAAGTGATTACCACTTAACTTGAGGAATGTTTTGTGTATCAACATTCAAGGATTTCCAAGAATTTCGCATTGATTTAGCCATATTAGTTTGCAAGATTGGTGCCACTGAAATGTGACTAGCGAGCGACCGAAAATCAGAGCTCAACAAGTAGGGAGAGAGTATACATTATGACCATAAGAAAAGCGGCGACTTTCAAATGATTTTTAGTGGCTCCATGTTCGCGATGCTTTGCAGAGTTTACACAGCTGCAAGCATCATCTTGGATCCAATCAGCAACCCCAGTCCCAGGCAACTTGATTTCTGTGCCAGCATTTTGCACGACATTATGGGAGGATATTTTCTACGTTCGCCGCCTCCATGGGCACCACCTGGCAGTAAGACTAGTAGTCATCTCCTAGCGCAGATTATTCTTTTCCTTATTTCTTACTTGACAAGAATTATAGGAGTTTGTAGGATGGTGAAGGCATGATCGCTGGAAGGTTCCCAATAAATGAGTCGTGGGGTGCTACGTTGTATGTATATATATATATTTGTGTATGACGGAGGTGGAACGAGACTGACAAGTTGGTGGTCCTCAAACTAGTAGGGGGGAGACTAAAAACTGCTGGAGAGTCGAGTAGTAATCGTGACTGAGCAGCGGGAGAGCGAAGGCCACGGGGACAGAGAGAGAGCGAGCTAACAGTGCGCTGTTAGCAACACCGTCAACCGACTGTTAACTCCGCGACGTTAACAGCGCTGCTGCCCTGAACAGTAGGATTGGAGCAAAAGGCACAAACCGTGGGCAAGCAGTGCTTATGTTTGGGTTTTGCTTGGGCTGAGTTGCTCCTTCGTTACCCCATTAGAATCCCCTAATGGATTTGCTTTTTATAGAGCTGGGATCTTAAATTGAGAATACTTCGCGGAATACCAAATGCAAAAGAATAATCAGAAAATCGGTACGGCACGGAACGGAACGGCACGGGACTCCTTTCGGTTATTTAATATTCTTATCGCTAATGAAGTGTTTATGGGGTATGTCAGGAATTGGTTTGCCAGGATATTACTTTTCCCCTCTACATTTCGCTTTCGCTTTCACTTTCCTTGCCTCTCCTGGCCCTTAACCTGATGCCGTTGACTCAATTACACGGCGTTTGCCATGCAATTTGTGCCATCCCCCCCCTTGGTCCCCGTGGCCCCCTTGGCACACATGTGTCTCTCTTTGCCACACGGAGAGATTCGCAATTTTCATTTACATTTTTACCAGATTTTTTCATGAAAATATTTTTGCATTTGCAGCATCCGGCGACACGGTGTCCCTTCGCGTGCTGCCGCCCGCCCACGCTTTGTGCCACATGCCACCACTGAAAATAAAGAAACAACAGCAGGAACATTTCCGAGCCCCATAAAAGCCCCGTCAGCCCCCGTCAGCACCGACGCCCCCCCCGCCTGATGCCCGACGAAGGGCGGAAGCGACAACATTTTATGACGGTCACATAATAACATCGGAGCGTCGAACGGTAACGGTAACGGTAAACGGTCCAGCGTTCCCACGTTCCGCAAACAGGAGGAGCAGTGGAAGGGAGGATAGGATGCAAATTACGTGCCACATGAAGCGTCAAAGCTTTTGATTTCATTGTCGGCACCAGAGCAGCAGCATCCAAAAACCAAATCCAAATCCGTACCGGGGAACAAAAAAGACCAAAAACGTCTCGCAACACTCACCGATTGATTGAGTGATTGAGTGACTGGTTGACTGATTGACCAAGCCGCAGTATCAGCAGCAGCAGCAGCAGCAGCAGCAGCAGTCTCAGAGGCAAACAAAATCAAGCGTTCGATTAAAACGGCGCCAATTGCGATGGCGGCCTTTCTCGGTAACGACATCAGCAGCGGCAGCCCCAGCAGCTCCGCTGGGATACGCAGCAGTGCCACCGCAGCCGCAGCTGCAACGGCAGCACTCAACGGCGGTGGTGGTGGTGGCGGGGGGCGTGGCGGTGGTCGCCAGGGTGCGGCCAATGGCGGCACTGGCAGCGCATCGAACTCGGGTCCATCGGCATCGTCCAAGTCGGAAAAGCAGGACGACAGCGAGGAGGGTGGCATTGGCATCCTCTGTGGCTGTGGCAACAGGGCCCCCAAGTCCCATTGCATATCCGCAACAGGTGAGTCCATCTGTGCAGTTTCAATGCGGCTTGAACTTACATAAATCATAATTTAAATATGCTTAGGCGTGCTGCTGCTGGTGCTGCTGTACACCGCCATGGGGTCGATCATCTTTGTGACCCTCGAGGGTGAGCTGGAGGACGGCAGTGCCGTGGAGACGGCTGTGGCCGCCTCCAAGCCATATCCACGCACCGAATTGGCCAACGCCGAGATACGCTCCAGGCAAGTCTCAATGTGCTCTCAATCCATTATCGGATCCAGATCCACTGATCGGCGACACTTTCTCCCATCATGTTTTTCCAGAACTGTGGACCGCTTGTGGTCGATAACGGAGGATCTCAATATACTGTACAAGGAGAACTGGACTCGTCTGGCTGCCCAGGAGGTTCAACTGTTTCAGGTGAGTGTCCAGTCCCGGTCGCGGTCCCGCTTCCGGTACCTTTTGCACTCGCATGCTAATGGAGCATCCTGCCTGCGTCCGCCTCTTGGTTGCCATTCTTTTCCGCAGGACACACTGCTGCGGGCCGTTCGCCAGTCAAAGGTTTATCCACCAGGCGGCATCCAGATGAATGCACCGACCCACAAATGGACCTATGCCTCGGCCTTTCTCTACTCCATGACATTAATTACAACGATAGGTGAGTGAGAAGTGTCCTGCCCGTATCCCACTATCCCGTACCCCGTACCCTACCCCTAACCGTATCCTTTAACGTGCCACCTCGATTCCTCTTGATTCCTTTGTTGGCTTGATGTTGTTCTCTGGTTCTGGCTCTGGTTCTGGTTCCCGGCCCTTGCTTCGATTCTCTGGGCAATTTATTAGCCCCGGCCTGACGTTTGCCGTCGCCTGCCAAGTGCCAGAACCCAACCAGACACGTGTGCGTGTCCCTCACGCTCCCTCCAAGCCCTGTGTATGTGTGTGTGTGTGTTTGTGCGTCTGTGTGAGACGTTGAGTGAGCGCCTCTGCCTGGCTGAGCAGCTGCTGAGCTGACCAGAGATGTTGGGACCACTGACGCCTGGCTGGCCACTGCCCCTCCCCCTGCCAGCCCAGGATTGCCCTCGGCATACCCCCGGACTGCCCAGGACTGCCCAGGACTGCTGTTTTTAATTAACAAACTGTCAACCGACGGCATCGATTCCGTTCGTCTTGGCCACAACAATTCTTACACCACACCACACCAGCCCACCCCACCCATCCATCGACGGTGGAGTGTGCTGGTAGATATACTATATGCTATATATATATATCTATATTTTTTTTTTCAATTTACCAATGCGTGCTGCCGTCCGGCCAGTATCTCTGATTTCAATTAGGTATATGTAAGCCGGGGGGCTAAGCAATTTCTCTGCAAAAAGGACATACGGAATGCGTCATGAAGATGCATGCCAAACGTAATTAACATGTCCATGTACAGCCCCCACTCTAATCGAACACTGCCACACCACACCGCATGCCCCAGCCAGCAGCCAGCAGCCAGCTCCACTCAGCATGTCCACAGGCGTTTGCTACTGCTCCTCCTGCTACTGCTGCTCCTCCTGCTGCTGCTCCTCCTGCATCTCTCCCTCTTCATCCTGATGTACATGCAAATTGAAGTGCTGTTGGTCGAGACACACCAAAATAATTGAAAAAAATAATTTAAAATAACCAAAAAAAAAAGAAGAAGAAACAAAAATTGGAAACGCCTAAAGCCTACCAATGAATACTCTTGGAATAAACAAATCCTGCTGGATATTTATGCATCTTGTTGTGATTGTAAACTACTGCTGGAAGCTGTCAGAGTAAATGCAGAATATGCTCAGATCGGTTGAGAATTCTATGCGCGTGGCATGTGGCATGTGGCAGGCTCTCAATTATGATTAAAGGGTGTTTTAAATCGGCTAGAGGCGGGGTGGCTGGGCGGCTGGGTGGCTGGGTGGCTGTGGGGGGAGTGGCTGGCGTTTGTCCGCTCAACTATGAACACCCAGAGGGGTAAAACGAAAATAGACCGGACACGCACTGTGTGTGACACATGAACAACAGTGGAGCAGGGTCTACAGCAGTGGAGGGGGTCGATTGTCGATGGGGGTGGGTCAGTGAGTGGAAGTGGCAGAGAGATGCATGGGGAGGATGTGGTTTGATTGGAATGGCTGGACTGATTCGTTCACAATAAACGCGCTGTTAAATCAATCGAATTTGTAGCAATCAGCAACAGCAACAACAATACACCCCATCCCTCGCGGCAGCACCACAGCAGCAGCAGCACACATTCCCTGGCCCCTCATCGCATTATGGGAATTGAGTTTGAAATCAAAACTCAATTTCGGACCGACCGGTCGGTGGGTCGGTCGGTCCCCGGGCGGAGAGGCAGCGGCGGAGCAAGAGAGAAGGCAATCAAAAATCTGTCTAAATACGAAACTGCCTCACCCCCCACCCCCATTGCAGCCCCCTTCTCACCATGTGTCGCTACGGCCTGGCGCCATGTTTGTGTAGCGGCGAGTGTCATTGAAATTATTCTGACATCACTGTGGAGGGGATAGTACCGTTACGGTATGTAGTTAAATAGAGACAGCGACAGACAGGTTCACCAGGAGAGAGAAATGGAGAGTGAGTGAGTGAGTGCGGGGGGGGGGGGAGACCAACCTGCGGCTGTCAGTTGGGTAAACCGAAACAATAGCAACAGAGAGCGAAGGAGAGCGAGTGAGAGCGAGTGAGAGCGAGGGAGAGCGAGCGTGGGAGAGGGTTGAGCATGCAGGAACGGACATGTACAGACAGCAGCGGACAGCAGCAGACAGATGACAGAAGTACTCGCACTCAACATTCCGCATTCTGTAACCATTTGCTTTAGTACATTCTACGAGTGCGAGTACGGATATATCCATCGAAGGGGGAAGAACAAGAAGATGTTGAGGCTGGCTGGCTGGCTGACTGGCACATCAATCAATTATTATGAAACAATTTGTCGCAAATTGCCAAGTGGCATATATATACATACATACATACATACATACTTATGTACGTATTTCGATTGTTTTCCAGCTCTTCTATAAATACACACAAAACTGTGAAGGGTGGCCATCTCCGATTATTTCCACTGTCTTCGGCTCTGCCAAAGCTCTGGCTCTGAGTGTGAGAGAGAGAGAGAGAGTGAGAGCATAATCTCACCATTCTGGCAGTCACCTTGGATTGCGGCCAAAAAAGAGAAAAGTTCTTTGTTGTTGGTTCTTTAATGGGCTTGGGGATTGACGACAGGCGGCTGGCGGCTGCATGGAGAGATTTTGTTTTGGGGTGCTACCCAAAACGATCGTCAGGAGATTAAGTCGGGGGTGGTGGGTGGTTGAACTGGGGACTGGGGGACTGGCTCTGAGACAAAACCATTATGCAAAATTCACATCGATTACGTGCTGTGTCCCGGTCCCTAGCCAAGGGCGCCTGCAGACTACCAGGGAGGACATTTTGCTCATTATTCAATAATGAAGATATTTTGGATGGGCATACGCTTGAATGGACCGTCCGTCTCTCTGGTTGTATGTCTGCTACTGTCCCTGCCCCTGCCCCTGCCACTGCCACTGCTACTGTCTCTGAGCTATTTTCAATGGATACCTTTATGTGGCGCCGTACCTATCCACAGCCACTGGCTCTGTCTGGGCCCAGGACATCGTTCAATTAAAATTCCAGCAGATTGGATTTGTCTGGCAGTGATATGTGTGTGTGTGTGTGTGTAAGACTAGGGGTGGCTGGGAGTCGTAATGGTTGTTTAGCCTCTCACATAAAACAAATTTCATTGCCTGATGGATCGCTTCAAAATAATACCTTACGCCTCCTAAAAATTACGATAAATTTATGTCAATTGCCTGCTGTGTGTGTGTGTGTGTGGGAATTATGGAGTGCGTATTTAATTTGCATTTACGTGGATTCATTCGCATTCGATTAGCATAATGATGATTTCGCCAGCTAATCGATGACTGTCGGAGGAGGCGACACTCTTCCGATTGTTTTGTCAATTCAATCCGCCTAAATATTTGGGAGACTCTACCCCAAAAATTGAATGACACAAATAACTCCGGTTCATTGCCTACTTAACGGCTCTGATGGCGATTATGGATAATTAATATTGCGCATACGCTAGCCGTGTGTGTGTGTGTGTGTGTGTCGTGGGTAATAAAATTAACACATCTGATCATAAATATAAACCATGGCACTAATAAATATACCCAGCGCAGCCCCCCCCCGCGCTACACACATCATTTCGGTCTCGAAATTCTCCATTGTCCGTTGATTTATGTGCTGCACTGTGGTCGGCACTGTATGTCAGGCGCCCACCCACCCAATCACCCACTACGTCGCCACGACAACAGCGATTCAATTTTACAAACTGCATCCAGAGGACACATCCGCTGTTCAACACCATAGCCTACGTCCGTTGCCGCGTGACCCCAGCCGGAGAGACCCGCCCGTGAGACTGTCACACCGACTGTCACAACACCATGGACAAGTGGCAGGGCATTGACAGTGGCCGGGACGTGGGCATGTCATGTCATTAGGGCGCCGCATTATTGTTAATTGGTTTGTGGCTAAAGTGCAGGGGAAAAGAGTTCGGTCTGATATATGAGGACTGGAGATACACCAAAAAGTAAGCAAAAAGCACACATGTACGTATGTATGTGTATATGCTACAAAGATACATGCAACATACAAGCATCTGCAATGCAATGTAATACCATGACGGAAGCAGAGGCAGTGCCAGAGGCAGAGGCAGTGGCAGAGTCAGAGCCAGTTGCGTTGTGATTTTCAATCAATAAGTAAATGTAAACTGGCAGGAACATACGAGTACACTCGATTGCCTCACATAAATCTTTAGTAAATATAACAACGGAAAAAAAACTGTACCATCGGTTGGGATTTTGGGGTTTGGGGGGCAGTCATCTACGTAGAGACGTTTCCATGCAGCAGCAGCAGCAGTCTTCCTCCCACTGGCAACTTCCACTCTCACAGCACTTTGACCTTCTTGTGTTGGATGACCTTCAGCGGGGCCAGACCATAAACTATTGCCATCGATGTAATGGCTTTGTCTGCCGCTTCCGTTTGCCATTTTGAATTACAAATTGCAGAGCACTGCACTGCAGGGCATGGCAGGACAGAAAGTAAGCGCGTACCAGTGCGAGTTTCCGTATGCGTTTGAATGAATCACGATTTATATGTTGTTTACCTATTAGTATGGCCTGCACTGTGTGCGCTTCCTTTATTTTACACCCACCCACAGCATCGACACTGGCTGGCTGCTGCTGTCGGCTGCCGGTTGATAACTTTATTAAACACTTTGACCTGCATTATGTTCACACGATGGCGATGGCGATGCCGCTGTCAGCTGTCTGCTGCCCACTTTGCGCTCTATTCCACGCTATGTTCCCCCCCCCCCCGCGACCCACGACCCCACGACCCCACGAACACACGATTGACGGCACGTCACGTCCGCTGTTGTAATATTATTATTACATAATTTGTGTGCCAGAAATTGTGTATTCGCCCTGTTGCCCGGCCTGGATGGTAACTATAATCGTTTGTGACACGCGCCGTCAAAATAGCCATGGAACCAGTGCTGAACAATAATGCTTGTTGGCGGGAACTAGTTTATAATTTGAGAGACGGGATTCATTTAATGGG